CTGCCTAGCTGTCTCTAAATGGTAAACATAAAAAATAAATACAAAGTAATTTCAGGATGGGGAAGGCACTAACAGCTGCATGATCAAGAAAGGCCTCATGTAATAGTTAGCACCTGAGCTAAGTCTTGAAAGAAGTTAGGGATTCTAAGAAGCAGAAGTGACAAGGGTGTTCATTCTAGGAATGGAAGACAGACTTTGAGAAGGATTTTGAAAAGGGAGATAGAATGTCATATATAGTAAAAAACAAATGGGCCAAGTTTGTTGGGACCACAGAATATGTGAAAGGGAGCAATGTGAAATAAGTCTAAAAAGGTAGGCTGATGCCAGATTGTTCAGGCTTTAATGCCAACTAGAGAAGTTTGCATTTTATTCTAGAGGCAATAGTGAACCTCTGAAAATTCTAGAGCTGCAGAATATTTTAGCAAGATTGTTTTGGTAGCTATGTGGAGGATGGGTTGAAGAAGGGAAAGATTAGAGGCAAGGAGACCAGTTAGGAAGCTGTATTTAGAGATATAAAAAAGAATTATTTACTTAGAATCATCTTCCATTTCCTCCAAACACATAACAAATATAAAGGAGTTGGAAGAACTAGGTAGATACCAGAATAGAATAATATTTAGAGCACAGACTGGATTTTTGAAGGTATTATTATTATCTTTTGAAAGCACAGTAAACAAAGGCAAATCTTTCATGGTATTTTAAAAGTCAGCATTATATGCAAATATATTATTAGGAATAGAACATGTATGAATTATAAAGCTATCTTCCCACTATGCTGTTAGGCTCTTATCCAGCATCCGGTTATGTTATACATATTTTATGAGGGATTTTAATTAGGTAAAACAACAAATTAAATTTTAATATGATGCTATGATTTGTCCTATAAGGAAGGAAGCTATAGTTGACCTATTGTCTTTAAGTTTGTGAAATGTTACACGAGGAATTCAATTCCACAAGCATTTAATAAGGGCCTACGATGTGCAGGGCATGGTGGTAAGCACTGAAAATAGAACAACTAAAACAGTCCCTGACTTCAAGGGACTTACATTCTACCGTGGGATACAACATTTAGATGGATAAATAAATAATATGCCATTGGAGGAAAAGAAAGCATGCTCTTTAAAGCCATCTACTTTCCATCTAGGAAGTTAGGAAACACTCAGAAAGTGTTTACTATTGATTAGGAGACCCAAAACTGATTTAAATCACAGCAAGAAAGGCTTTAAATAAAAGAAGGAAACATTGACTATGAATAGTTAAAGCAGGTATGGAATTAAGTTCAATGGAGATTTTGGAAAACAGGATAATTATCTGATTAAAGCAGCAGAGTCCTCCAGAAAGACTTCTTAAGACACATTTTTGGACTTGGTCAAAATGTGAATTTATTTTGCTTATCTATGCTTATTTGTTTTGACTTTTTTCTTTTTCTTTTTCTTTTCCAGTAGGATGGGGAAGGTAGGAGAGAGGGAAAATGCTCATTAATTTTTTTTATTAAAAAACCAAAAAAATCTCTTAAACACCCTTCTGTATTGTGGTTTTTACAGAAAATATAGAGCAGTAATTTATTTTTAACCTCATGACAGTAGGCTCTGTTGACCCTAGCAGTGATTCTTTACCAAATTATTTGGATGGGAAATCCATCATCAACTAACATTCATTGATTCATACAGTGCCCAGAGGCTGCTTCTAACTCTAGTGTCTGATTCAGTTAGTCCACTTGGTTAGGATGTAGTCCTAATAAGGTCAAGGTCACAGGTTCAATCCCATTTTGGGATTCAGATGTGAGCAAAAACTGTGGATCATAGCCTTAAGGTGAATTTCCCAAACCTAGCTACCATTCTTACAAATATCTGTTTTAATCAGGACTTGAGAAAGGCAGTAGACCGCTTAGTACAAACCTCATCATTACAGGAAAGACAGCTTAAAGGTCAGCAGCATCCTCTTTCTATATGAAAGAAAACATTTGTGTGTTGCGAAATGAGTTAAGGAGGTAAAAAAAAAATAATAATAATAAAAGGGAGAGGAATCAGAAAATTTAAATCCCCTAAATTTCCTTGGGGGAATTCTGCTATGTAACAGGAGTTTTTGAAATAATTCAACATTTGTTTTCTTTTCTTGGATTTTTCTCTTCTGTCTCATCTAATGTTGGTACTTCCTAGCTTGGTGTTTTTGTGTGCTGCTGCTGGGTGGGGGCCAGAGCCAGCTCATTCCTTCTTGTCATGTTATCAATATCCGTCTTCTTGAACTTCTATACAAATGTAGCAAATGTGTGCATTAAAAGTCAGACACTAATTGCTTGTGGAATCTTAGAGAATTTGAACTTAAGCCCCTTAAGGGAGTTTTGTGTGAAAGGGCTGGACAGAGAGTTGCATGGGACAAGAGTGTGGGCTGACATCTTTTTAATGCATTTTACTGTGTGATCAAACGAATAACAGCAGCACTTTTTACCATGCAACCTTACCTTGCAAATGATCAAGTGCTTTGGTCCATAGGGCAGACCTCCAGATTAAAGTCAATTCAAAAAGTATTTACTGGGTATCTACAAAGGTAGTGTGGTATTATAACAGAGGGTGCACTGGATTTGGAATTAGAGGATTTCTGAATCCTGGATCTGTAACTTCCTACTTGTGCGACCATGGGGAACCAGAGCGATGAGAGGGGTCCTAATCTAGATAAGTGGGAGATGGAAAACATGATGGAGGTCAAAATAGGAGGAACAGGATAAATGCACGGAAGTGAGGCTGTGGGAGTTCTGAAAAAATAGGTCATCAGAATAGTCAAAATTAAGGCTGCACCTACAAAATGAGATTAGATAAGATAACCTCTAAGGTCTTTGCCAGCTCTATCTACCATCCTGTGATTGTGACTGGGGGGAGAGAGGGAAGAAATAGGACACGATACCCATCAGAGAATGATCCAATCTAAGAGCTGGAAAGGATCTTAGAGATCATTTAGTACAACTTCATAATTTTACTGATGAAGAAACTGAGACCCAGACAGGTGACATGTCTTACCTAAAGTCACAAAGGTCATTAGAACACTGGACTTACAGTCAGAAAGATCTGGATTTAAAATCTGATTCAAACTTTTTATTAGCTGTGTGACTTTAGGCAAATCATTTACCCTTTCTCAGCCTTTCTTTATGTATAAAGTGGGGATAATAAAAGCACCTATTTCATTGGGTTATTGTGAAGATCAGATGAGAAAATGTATATAAAGGGTTTTGCAAACTCAACATAATAGGAGCTATTATAACTATCTATGCTTTTTTTTTGGTCTCCAAATCCAGCAATGAGGACTCTCACCTTAATATATAACATTCACAAGAGGATTATGATCTAGTTGGAAGCAGTGGTAAAACATATGAACCATTTAGAAAGCAGTATAAAGACTAACACAATATTCAACTGAATTTAATGAAATGCTAAAATATATGGCATCCACCTAATAAGAACAATTATGCTATGATATTCACGTGAATGAAAGAGAATAGCAGCGCAATCTAGTATAGTAGATAATGTAAAACTCATTCAATTCTTTGCAATGCATGATGGGATAGGAGTGGTAAGGAAGATGAGAAAAAGGGTTAGGGGTAGGAGTGGGGAGTGGGGGGGGGAGTAGATGAAGGAAGAAGACCATAGACTGACTTGCTTAAATGTTTTGCTCAAGCCCATGTCATCTTCATTCTAGAGAATCACACCCATCAGACTATCACTTATCAGTCCATCATTCTAATTCAAGCCAACATCACCTCTAACCTGGACTATTTGCAATAACCTCTTAACTGATCTCCCTACCTCACCTTTCCCCAGTCCAATCCATCTTTCTAACAGCTGCCAAGTGATTTTCCTAAAGTCTGATAATGTGTCTGATAATGTCACTCTCCTGCTCAATAAACTCCAGTAGCTCCTTATTACCTCTAGGAGGGCAAACTCTATTTGATTTTTAAAGCCCTTCTTAACCTGTTCACGGCCTATATTTCCAAGCTTCTTATACTGTATTCCCTTTCAAGTAATGTCCAGTCAAACTGACCTTATTTCTTCTTCACACTCAACGTTCCATCTACCGTCTTTCTGGCTAGAATGTAATACTGCTTGGAATCCTGGTTTTCATTGAAAACTCAGGTGAAGTGTCACTTCCGACTTAAGCCTTTCCTGACCCTCACCCCTCCTTCTCCATTGCTACCGCTTCCCCCCAACCCCAGGAAAGTTTTTAAAATTTATTTTGCATCTCTCTGTCTCTCTCTCTTTCTTTCCTCATGTTGCCTCCCCTTACAGAACGTAAGCTTCTCGAGTTTGGGGACTGTTTTCATTTCTGTCTTTATATCCCCAGCACTTAGTACAGAGCCCAGCACACAGTGGGTGTTTACTCTAGACTTGCAGATTTTTGACTAACAGCTGGAGGAAGGGCCTAGAAGTGGTGCTAGACAACTGCAGGGTAGGGTATTCAGGGATTAATATTGTCGGCGTTAAAGCACACAGCGGACAATCTGCAGGCAGCGTAGTGCAGGCAGGACCCCACTCTGATGAACACCGGCCCCGCAGGGGAGGTCCGCTTCTGGCCTGAGAATGCTGGGGTAAACTTCTGTATTAGGAGGCGTCCAGGATCGGAGGTGGTCGACATGAAGGACACACAAAGAACCAAAGGGATTCAGTTTCTCTCCCCAGGTGACAAGGCTAACAAATATTTTAGTCCCTTCCCTAAGGTCCCCTTCCGGGTAAAGAGAAAACCCCGGGTCATTGGTCTGCAGTAGGTCTTTCGAACCCTACTCAGCTTAGCGTATCCACGCCAAAAGGTTGCGCATCTCTGAGCTGGGGAACGCCCGAAGATCACGGAGGGACTACAAGTCCCATGGGCCCCCGGGGCGCGGGTGGTGATGACGAAGGCCCCCAGGATTGGCCGAGCGGGGCGTGGCGCGCAGGCTGGAGGAGGAGGGGCTGGGGCGGGGCAAGCCGTTCCCTCGAGGCCACACCCCCGCCCTCCGCCCCTCATCCCCTCAGCTCCCTCCTCGGTCAGAGGGACAGAGCGAGAAGATGGCGAAGACGTACGATTATCTCTTCAAGCTGTTGCTGATCGGAGACTCGGGGGTGGGCAAGACCTGCCTGCTGTTCCGCTTCTCCGAGGACGCTTTCAACACCACCTTCATCTCCACCATCGGTGAGGGGCCGCAAGGGCTGGGGAAGGGATGGCTGGGAGGGAGGGAAGGGGGGGACAGCAACTAGAAATGCGGGGGGAGACCCTGGGGGACGGGGCGGGGAGACAGAGGGACGTGGGGCAGGGAGAAGGGACAGGGAGAGACCGCGGGGACGGGGCGGGGGGAGAGGAGAGAGAGGGCACAGGGAAACACCCTGGGGGGACGGGGTGGGAGGAAAAGGGGGGACGCAGCGGAGAGGGAGAGGGAGGAGAGAGAGAGGGGACGGGGGGAGACCTTAGGGGACAGGGGAAAGCGAAGAGAGGGGATGAAGGGGGAGCAGAGAGAGGGGGGGACAAGTGGGGAGATCCAGGGGGATGGCGGGAGGAGATAGACAGGACAAGGGGAGAGGAGGGGGACTACGGAGGAGATGGGGAGAGGAGAGAGAGAGGATAGGGAGGAGATCCTGGGGGACTGGAGGGAGAAGAGAAAGGGGACAGAGGGGGGAACTGAACAGAGGGGTGGGGAGACCCTGGGGGATAGGTGTGAGGAGAGGGGCGAGGGAGAGACCATGGGAGACAGTGGGGAGCATAGGGGAACAAGAGAGGGGACCACAGTGGCATAGAAGGGAGGAGAGAGAGGGGACAAGAGGAAGACCATGGGGGATGGAGGGAGAGAGGGGGTAAAGAGCCAAGGGAGGAGACCATAGTGGGATAGAGGTGAGGAGAGAGAGGGAACAAGGGAGGAGATCATGGAGGACGATGAAGACTGGAGGGAGCAGAGAGGGGTATAGAGGGGTACAAGAGAGGAAACCAGAGGGGATAAAAGAAAGGTGAGAGGGGAACCAAGGGAGAGACCATGGGGGGACAGGAGGAAGGAGAGACAGGGAACATGGTTCAAGGGAGGAGATCATGAGACAGGAGACCGAAGAGAAAGGGGATATAGGGGACACTATGGATGGACAGGAGGGAAGAGCCCAGGACCAGGACTGGGGAAGTGGAGAGATGAGGGGATAGGAGGGAAGAATGATAAGACTTGGAGGGGGAGAGTATGGTAGAAAAGGAGGAAGGAAAGAGAGGGAGCATGAAGGGGACAGGAGGGAGGAAAGAAAACGCATGGAGGAGTCAAGAGGGAAGAAGGAGAACAAAGTTTGAGACAGGTGGGAGGAAAGAGGGGTATGTGGAGATAAGAAGGGAGGAATATGAGGGGACAGGAAAGAGAACATGGGTGAAAGGAGGGAACATCAAGGTGGAAGTGGGGGGCAGGGGACACATGACAGAGTACGGGAAGAAAGGGAATGTAGGGTGAGAAAGAACATGGTAAAAAGGGGCATGGGGAACAAGGAGGATGGGAAGGAGGAAGGACAGAAGAGAAGAGAACATGAAGGAGGAAAGAATGGGGTATAGAGAGGACAAAAGGGGATGTTCTGGGGATAGGAAGGAGCGGGATATGATTGGGGAAAAAAGGAATAAGAGGGGAACAAGAGGGGAACAGAAGAAAGTAGAGCATGGGGAGGGACATAAGAGGGGTACATGGAGGAAGAGGAAGGATGTAGGGTGAACAGGAAGAAAACAGGGACAAGAGAGGAAATAGGACAAGAAATGGGAAAGAGGGATGAGAGAAGATGGAACATGGGGGACAGGAGGGAGTAGAGCATGGAGATATGGGAGGAGACCAGGAGACAGAAGAGGGAGGAGTACATGAATATAGGAGGCAATGAGAGGAAGTCAAAAGAGGGACCAGAGAGGACAGGAGGAAAACATGGGGGAGTGACTGGAGGGTAGAGGAGGGAGGGGAAAACGAAACCTGAAATATGAGAGGGGTAGACCTTGAAGAGGGGAGCATGGAAGGAATAGAAACATGATTAAGAGAGGAGAACAGAATAGGGAAGAAGGGAACTTTGTGAGTATGGGAAGAAGGTTAAGTTAAGGAGAGGGGGAGAGGGTGAAAAGGGGGTAAAAGGTTAGGGAGAGAAGATACCAGAGGAAAGGAGAGAATGAGGCAGTATAGGAAGAGGAAAGTAAAGGGGGAAAATGGGTGACAGGAGAAGAACTGTAGAGGACAGAAATAGGAGACTGGAGGAGATAGGACTTAATGGAGGTAATTGGGAGAGCCAAGCTAGAGGGAGACAGGAAAGAAGAGAGCAATAATGGGATAGGAAAAAGGACGAAAATGGGAAAGTGGAATATTGAAGGAGATTTTAGAACAAGAGGAGTCTTAATCTAGATAAGTGTCGGGGAGTGGAGAACTGAAAGAGATAAGAATAGGGAAATGGAGTAAAAAGGGGGGAATGGGGCTGTGGGGGTCCTGGAGAAAGGGATCACTGGAGCAGGAAAAATTAGGGTGGGAGTATAGAGAACAAGTGGTGAAGGAAAGAAACGAGGATAAAGAATGGGCTGATAGGAAAAAGAGACAGTAAAAGTAAAATAAAAAAAGGAAAGTAAATGTGATGTGAGTAGAGGAAGACATTGGGGGAGAAAATATGACAGACTTGGAGAAGAAATGGAAAGGAGGAGGGGTGCTGGATACTTTCCATAGTAACTTCCACTTCCCTATGCTTTTACTTCTTTTGGATCAAATGTAAGAGACGAAGATATAAGCCAGCGTCAGTGGAATGATTGAATTTTTAATTGATACTAAGTATTAAATTGTTGTAACTGAAGGAATTTGTGACTTTTCTTTTTCTGAAGCTACACCTTCAGGTTTTTACTTTTGTTTGTTTTTAAAAGTGTAAATGTTCATTAACTTCCTAGCCAAAGAATGTTATCTTATGCTCTTTCCTCCTTAGCTCTGGTGTATATCTTTCTGTGGTTTTCATAATTACTTGTTAAATGTATTTACAACGTGCTGTTTACCTCAGTTGGTGACTTCTAATTGATTTGACAAGGGTTTTTTGGTTTAGCTGGGAACTGACCTTGTAACTTTGCTACTGGTAGCCATTGTGTTTTCAGGTATGTAGCAATATATGTAGCAATCTTGCTGCAAACTTCATATTAGAATTAAAGCTGATTTTGTGCTGGGTACAGAGTGGGTATTGCTTTAATTTTTCTTATTAAAGAAGTACCTGAGTAAGAAACAACTATGATTTTCCTAGCAAATTAACCCATGAACTTCAAAGCCTTATTAGTATGTCATTCTTACATATATGAATATAGTACTTATAACTTGTTTCATTATGAATTGCTGGATTAGGAACCACCAAAAGAGGTACTTTTGGGGAGGGTATGTTTGAGTCATCCACCTTTATGGTTTTTATCTCTACATGTAGGTTAAAAATAACTATTTTGTCATATTTTATAAGCCAAATATTATTTTTTAAAATTAGCTCATTTGCCTCCTAATTTTCATAGGGACTTAATCAGGGGTGGGGAACCTGTGGCCTCCAGGCCACATGTAACCCTCTAGGTCCTCAAGTGCAGTCCTTTGATTGAATCCAAACTTGACTGTCTAAACTAAACTCTTAGTGTTAAGAGTTTAGGGAAGTTTGGCCTGCTGGTTCTTAACACGTGTGTGACAGAGGTGCAGTCTTCAGTGGGATTTTTTCTTTTCTGAGGAAGCAGATTTTAAATGCCATCCTTTACGTGTTTTCATAAGGGGTTTTGTAGGAACTGATATACAAACTAAAAGGAGTTAATGTCTTAAGATGTTACTAATTTCAAAACTACAGAACACTCCTTTTTTTCTTTGTTGAGAGTATGCTCTTGCCTGTAGATAGTATAGGGAATTTGCAGATAAGTTGAGTATCATATTGTTTCCTGATCTCCTTTAGAGTTGAAGGGAACAGAATCCGTCAGTACTATTTCAGATAAATTTCTCAGACATTTGTTTATTTTTACTTGCTCTTTTTTTGTTCCATTATTTTTATTTTCATTATATTTCATATGTTTATCATAAGGATGTCTATGAGTTGCTTTTTATTTATTTCCCTTTAAAATAATAGTTTCATAAAATGCTTTTCATTGTGAAGAATTTTAATACTTGTTTCTGAAAAAAATCTATTTTTAAATTGTTGAAATACAACTTCTGTGGAGGGTAGCATTTATTAAGTCATTCGTAGCAGTTCCACGTGTCAGTTTAAGGTAAGAAGCAGGAATAAAATTGAATCTTCTCTCATGGGATTTTAGATCTCATATTGTCCTTGGAATGTATAGGTAAAAAGGGGTGACCTGACAGAAAGTAACAAATAACAGTCTTTTGAAATAGTGGATGAATTTAGATTCCATGAAACCTTACGAAATCAGGTGTTGGGGGGGGTGTGGTAAGACACTAACCTAACCTTCGGTAGAAAGTACCAAGTCTTCTGTAATCACAGGTGTAAGAGTGGAGTTGATGGAGTTTTTAGCAATAGTACTGTAGCTAAGGCTGGGCAAAAGGTTTATATTAGAACAGATAAAGGGGACTACCTCCTACCTCCTGAGTCATTGCTATTTTCCTAAAAACTTATGTGCAATTTGTGGAGGTTTTCTATCAGAGTTCTGAGGAGGGCTGCCACAGGTTTCCTAATTAAATTGAGTAAGATCCAAACTGCTGTCATTCCTTGGAAAGAATCATCTCTTCCTCTCAGACTTCTTTACACCAGGGAGTGACTTAAGTTTTTAGTATATGCATCAACTAACATGCACTTAGTAAGTACTGAGTGTGTGCCCATAATCATGTGGGAGATAAAAAAAAAAAGAAAAGAAAAATGATCCCTACCCTCTTGGAGTCGACAGTATAGTTTTGAAGACGATACAGATCAGTGTAATTTCCCTTTGTTGAACTCCTCACCCCATGCTATTTATTTGTTTCCATATTTACTAAGTAATCAAAATCTACCTCTACTTAGAATCATAATATAGATTTTTTCAGTTGGAAGGATTCTGAGATATCATTTAGTGCAACCTTTTCATTTTATAAATGAGAAAACGTAGAATGAAAGTGAAGTGACTTGTCCGAGTAACCCAGCTGACCCAGCTGGAAATCAAGAACCTAGGTTTCTCCACTCACCATCCAGAACTTTTATCTGAACATTTATGGTCATTCAGGA